CTAACCAATTTGAAAATCTTAATAATTTTGTTAATAATAATAATATAAAAGATAGTTTATTTTTTTTTGAAATTCAAAAAAACTTATTAACTAAACTAGATGAAGTAAGAAAAAAATTATGGAGTGAGTCAAAAAAAATCAATGAATATGAAAAGAAAATAAATAGAATTCATTTTACAAATTATGAAAAAGTAAGTAGTGAGTAATTTTTTTTTGTAATTATATTATATTTATACTTATTTATTTCAGAAAATACATGAAAAAAATGAAGAAATAGACTCAAGCTTTCTTCTTATAATTGGATTAAAATCAGTATATGATTTATTTGTTGAATTTGGATATGCAGCAAAGAGATTAAAGCTTTTGGATTCGATTTCTATTCAAAAAATAACAGGTACATTTTCACTATTAATATTTTTTTAACAAAATTTATTATCATTTAAATTTGTCTTTTACTATAGATTTTTTGAAGAAACTTAATAATGTGTTAAAACAAACTAAAGATTTAGTAAAAGTTTTTAAAGAGAGCGAATTATGTCTAAAAGATTGTTGCTTTGATTATGTTGTAGAAAATTTGTCACAAATAGGCTGCTTAGTTAACAACTTTTGTACGCAAATTATAGTCAAAAAGATTGTAAAAGATTGATTATATTTAGAAGAATATACTGTAAGAAAAAGCAGAATATATACAAATAATATTATATAAATAAGTATCATAATGAATATTTTTATCAAAAACTATTGCAATGAACATATAATAAGAATAAAAATATCTATATAGTTTGTGTTTTTTAACTTGAATGTATAATAACATGTTAAAAGCTATAACTGCCATTTGTCTAATATTGAAAGATGTTAAACTATTTGATATGTGTTATACAGACAATAAAATTGCGATTAATATGAACAAACATATATAATACTAGTGTTTAAAGTACTTAAAACTATTTTTTTAATAAAAATTTCAGAATAGAATTAAGGTTGGCTTTGTGATATGCAAAAATGCTTTTAGCAAATTTTATTGTCTGCAAGTCAAAAAATGGTTACAGTATATATATTTTGAAAATAAGACTAATGTGTACCTATCACTTTTAAAATTTTTAATTTTATCATATAACACCTTTCTTAGTTTAAATATATATGAACTAAACTTTATATATATAATATTATTTTTATATACTTCTATAATGATCATTATTATTGTTATTGGTGGCTTTGTTGGTGCTAACTTATATCATTCCTAAGAACAGATAGTGTACATTAAAGAAAGTATGGTATAATTTTGATCTCTTAGAATATAAATATTATTTAGATAAGTAACTATATAAAAAAATATTTCACATCGCTAATCTGAATAACAATAATATTTCCTAAAGTAGTGATCCTCATAAAATATTGAAATCCTTTTCTTAATTTTATAAGTTTACTATATTGTAAAATTAAAAGAAATATTATTACAAAGTTAAAGCTTAAATAAATTCATATACATGCATGTATAAAAACATACCAAATAACTTAAAGACTATCCAGAATATATAAATTTTCCAAGTTGCAATGGTAAAACTATAAAACTTCACATAACTATTAATTGCATCTTCAATCACCCGTTTGAAACACAGATTCAGGTTATGTTAAACTACCAAATTTAGCTCCAAGCTTAATTAGAATAAATAAATCCTCGGTTTTTCCTACAAATGCTACAAAATCAATCTTATTCTTATTTTTATCACCAATATTCTATAATAAAGAAAGATTTATTTATATGACCATGCGTATATAAGATTTACTACCGCAATTGACATTATTAAATAAAAAAATAATAGTCTTACAGTAGTTTGATAATCTTATTCCATTCCGTTAACTAAGTCTAAACAAATTATTATCGATTAAATTTATTGCAATGATTTGATATGATTTGATACTAAAAAGTTTATTCATCTCAAGTTTTAAACCAGAGTTTAATCTAGAAATAACAACTTTGTGCATTATTAAAGGAACAAATGCATTTCATTTTTTACAAACAGTCCAAAAAGTGCAAAAAAATTCAAACCAATTATTAGTTTCATTAAAATTAGTAAATTTCTACAAAAATATTCTATTCAAATATATTTAATCTTTGCCATATTTATAAAAGTTTTGCTTTATCACTATATTAAGTATATACTATATAACTCAATTTTTATAAAATTTATAGTTTGATATCTATTAATGCTGGCAAAACTTTTGTAATGCTAGTGCAATTATCATGTGACAATACATTATTTAATGTAAAGTTACATTACCGTTACAGTATAAAACTTGTAATGTTCATCTATGATTTACGTTAAGAAAAAAATTATTATTTAAACACCTACGGCTATTAAAGGCCGTAGGAGTTTAAATATTAATGAAGATACATAAAGAAATGAGCCAAATTGTATTGGAGAAGACTACAGATAATTGGAAGAGTAATTATCCTTCTCGATATCATTAGATGATTGGACCTAAAGATTGTTTTTAGGTACGTACTAAGTGATATCTATACTAAATTGTTAAAATATGAAAGTAGAAAATTCACGCAGAGGTGATAACTTTCTTGATACTTAATCAGATTAGTTCCTATTTTACTATTTCTGCACGTGGTTCATCAGCAAAATTTTTAAGCAGATATATATCATATATAGCAGTTAATCGATATATATCGATTAAAAATTATCGATATATATCGATTAACTGCTATATATCGATATATA